CCCTCAGCCCCGGAAGTGGATCCCTCGGCAGGGCTGCGGCCTCCCCCCTTGGGTGGCTGGACACGGCTGGATAATCCAAAATAATTCCTTCTTGGCAGGCAGCCGGCGGGGGAGGGGGGACTCACATTCCAAACCCTTGTTTTTCTCGGTAACCTCCCTCCCCTCCTGGGGCAAGGAACCCCTGGCCAAACCTCAGGCCCTCCTGGAGGGGCCCACCCCTTAGACCAAGGTGGGCACCCACAGGGACACGGTGGGAAGAGGTGGTAGGTTCACATCTGTGGAGACCACCTGTTTGTCCTTAATCTCCTCTGGGAATTCCTGAAAGCTGACATGCCACAAAAAATAGCCAGCAGGCCCAGCCAGGCCAATGCTTGACCTTCCCTCCTAGGGACCCTCTCCTCAGGGCAGAGGGATGGCCGCTCGTGCTAGCTGTCCGACTTTCAGACTCTCAGACGGCCTCTCCCGGACACACCAGGATAACATCTGGGCATGGGCCGACCTGCACCGCTCCGCTCTCACAGGGCCCAGCCCTGGGTTTGGGGAGGGCACAGGGGCTTAAGTTCGAAATGGAAGAGAGAGCTCTCCCACAGCAGGCATGCGCTAGAAAATCCTCCAAGGTCCAGGATATTCCACTAGCTTTGGGGCCCTGCTTCACGCCCCCGCCCCCGTCCTGTCCACTGCCACAGGCAGAGGGGACAGATGGACCCCTTCCTTCCTTTTCCAAGTTGCTGGGAAGAGAAGCCTTCGTGACGTGGCAGGAAACTCCGGGGCCCTTGAGCTCAGGGACCCCAGAAATCTGCCAATCAGCCTGAGCACAGAGGGATGGGGAGAAGCCCATCCAGGAGGGCTTCCCGCAGGAGGAAGCAGCAGAAATGTAGGGTCAGAGGGTGAGGGGAGGGCCCAGGGACTGGGTATGCTCCCCCCCCCCCCCACAGTCTGAGATTTTCTCAGTAATAAACACTATTCCAATCAAGCACACCAGGAGTGGCCTTAGCAGGCCCTGTGGAGACGCAAGCAGGCCCAGGGCCACCAGGACTCGTCAGGTACCCGGGGTCGGTGCTAAGCTGCCCTTAGTCCCAAGACAGAACGCTTGCTCCCAACCTTCTTGCCGGGGCCAGGCACAGACCAGGGGGCTCACAGGGTGGTCCCAGCCGAAGCCCTCCTCAAAAGCAGCCCCAGCGGGTGTGTGGGGAGGGGGGGGGGGGGGGGGGGGCGCCCCCAGCCAAGCCCTGACTGCCGGTCACTCCCCTGGGGAAGCCTGGGCTGAGACACCCCGGAACTGCTGCCGGGGTGGGGGCAGGTGGCTGGGGGTCCCGAGCTCTTGCACAACAGGGACAACTGCAGCCCTGCCCACGGATCTCAGTGGCTGGAGAGGTGGGAGGCCTGGGTGGGGAGGGAGGGTCCGGAACCAGAAAGGGTCCGAGCGGTCCAGAGGGCGCGGCGCCCGGCTGGGGGCCCTCGGCCGGGCCAAGCCCCCTCGCCCCCGGCGCCGCGGGCCTCCCCGGCCACCTGGAAGAGCCGAGGACACACGGACGGCGGCCGAGGCCCGATCGCCCTCCGCGGAGCCGCAGCTGCCCCGGGTCCCCGCGCCCAGGGCGCGCAGGCTGGGACAGGGCGGCGCTAACGGCGAAGCCCCCCGACCCGCGCGGGCGCACCGTGGGCCCTTACCCCCACCGCGATACCTGCACGTCCGCCGCCGAGGCTCGATGGCGCCCGGGCCGCGATCGGCGCTGCGCTCCGGCCCGCGCGGCTGCCATGGAGACGGGCCTTTGTGTGGCCGAGGAGGGGCCGGAGCGCGCGGGAGCAGCGGCCCCGCCCCCGACGGAGAGAGGGGGAGGGCGGGGAGAGCCGGGTGGAAGAGGGACAGGGAGGAGGCAGAGAAGGGGGAGGAGGGAGGGGCGGGGAGGAGGA